AATATTCAGGCCAGTAGATGTAGTTAGATAAAAAATATTGTTTAATTAAATAATACAGAGCTTCTACTCAAAATTGAAATATGTTCGAATAAATACATTTATATATATATATATATATATATATATATATATATATATATATATATATATATATATATATATGTGTGTGTGTGTGTATGTGTGTGGGTGGGTGCAAATATATGGAAAAATAGGAAAGAACATGTTAGGTAAATAATCCGGAGTTCTTTAGTATTTTTGTTTTTATTTTTAAAAAACAGTGCTCTATACAGAAGTAGAGCTTAAATTATAGTTATTTTTTTAAAAAATATGATTCCTTCGATACATAAGAGTTCTCATGTTTCAAAAACAAGAGCCAAAAACCTCAATATAATTATTAAAATTAAATTGAATTAAAGTATCAGGCCCTGTTTCACTCTCAGGCGGAAATTTAGGAATCCTAAATTTCTAAATTTTCCTAAATTTTCACTTGAGGATGAAACAGGGCCTGATACTTTAATTCAATTTAATTTTAATAATTATAATGAGGCTTTTGGCTCTTGTTTTTGAAACATGAGAACTCTTAAAAGAAAAATCATTTAAAAAAAATAATATATATATATATATATATATATATATATAGATATGTTTTTATATATTTATGTATGCATGTGTGTGTATATATATATATATATGTTTGTATATATTTGTGTATGCATGTGTGTGTGCATATATATATATATATATATATATATGCATGTATGTTTTTATATATTTACGTATACATGTGTGTGTGCATATATATATATGCATGTATGTTTTTATATATTTACGTATGCATGTGTGTGTGCATATATATATATATATATATATATATATATATATATATATATATATATATATATATATATATTTATATATTTTTTGTATAACTTGGTAGCACTCTCAACCACCACTGCTCTCTTGATGATGTGATAGCGTTATGGTTTAAGAAGGCCTCCGAGGCATTTGCAGTAATCAAAGTCTGTATCTGGAGTAAGAAGTGCATTAAAAAGCAAATCAAAATTAAAATATATAATGCCTGTGTTATGTCATCTCTGCTATATTCATGTTATACATGGGTAATCTATTGCAGACATCTAAAGATACTGGAACGTTTTTATCAAGGCTACCTTCTGTATTTGCTTGAAATCCATTGGATGTTTCACACCTCTGATACTGTTGTTTGACAAAGGGCCAATTCACTCTCTATGGAAACACTTATGTACAAGCACAGATTTTGATGGATGGGCCATGTTGTCTGTATGGCAAATGACAGAATTCTAAAATAAATAATGTATGGTGAATTGGAAATGGGAAAAAAGACTACAACACAAGTCAAAACTTTATTACAAAGATTGCCTTAAAGAGTCACTATACAAGTGCAATATTGGTCTAGATAACTGGGAGACTCTAGCGGAAGGCTGGGTTTCTTGTAGAGATGGTATTGCTGATGGTGTCAGGATTTTCCATGAGGCATCAAAAATATGCAGAACTGAAGAGAGTGGTTTGGAAGGGATTCCTGAATTGCCATGAGGTGCTAACTTAGCCATGTGCCTAATGCAATTGAATATGCCTGTCCAGAGCAGGTCTGCTCAGTCACACCAACAACAACAGTCTATTGTATAGGATAATTTTGTAATGGCATGCTTTGAATGCCCGACCTGCACTAGGGTGTGCAAGTCAAGGTTGGGCCTGACAAGGCATACGAAAAGGCACATTGGAAGTGATGATGATTAAAGTCAACTTCCACCACCTGGAAATGATTTGATATGCCACATATGTGAAAGAAATGCAGATCAATGGCTGTCTTTATGAGCTGCTGTCGGTAACACAATCGATGAATGCAGTATTGTGGTGAGGAGTTTAACTGAAGGGCTGGACATGACAGTGATGGTCATACTCGCTTTGTGGGTTGACAGCTATGACACAAAGAAAAAAACATGTATTTGTTTATATATATATATATATATATATATATATATATATATATATATATATATATATATATATAGTGTGTATTTATTTATATAAACAGTGTGTGTGTATTTATTTATTTATTTTTTAGTATCCATAGATAACATTTTCAGGGAAAAACTTTTGAGAAGTTGTCTAACCAGTTGTAATTGAGATTTTTCCCCTTATATATTTCTTTCCAAATTCTTGATTTATTTTTATTCCTTTTGCAAGCAAGTCACACAATACTTGGCACTTTGATCTTACAAAACCAGTTCTTCTTCTTCTTGGTCATAATCACCTCTTGTATGTTACTCAGCTCACTCAGTTCCCATCAACAAATATTCTTCCAAACTGCCTATGAAGTTAAAACTTCGGCTGCTCCAATCATTGTTACTAGCACTACTACTACTTCTACTACTATTATTAAATGTAACTGCTGCTGCTGCTGTGAGATCAAAAATAAGTAAGTGATTGTATTTCTTACCTGTGAGTATATTGAGAACATTCACAGCTGAATTACAGTTGCCAAGTCAAAGGTCCACTACTCATTGTGGCCTGTGCTTATGGATATATGCTTCTCTTCTTTCCCCAGAGGTACTACCACTATGGAAGCCATCAAACATGCCTTCACACTTTGATAGACAACTTATAGGTGTGACTGGTGTTATTTGCTTTGCTGGATTGGGTACTTTGCTGGATTTTACACTACATATACGCACACATTTACAAACATTTACATAAACACATACATACACTACAAATAAACAATTATATTATATTATATATATTATATATATATATATATATATATATATATATATATATATATATATATGTGTGTGTGTGTGTGTCGATATCCTCACAAATATGAAAAAAAATTCAGAGTTAAGAAAAATTCAGAAAACCTTAAAATTTCTTTATTGTATACCCTGGATTGAGAAAAAATTGTTTCCTAGCAACAACCTATCACAGGTATGTAAGCAAAGAAATATAATATATGGTGTGTGTGTGCGTGTGTTATGCAAAGCATTGTCTGTTGCTTTGCAATATACAAAAAAGTGTCATGCTATTGTTTTAATTTTCTTTATTTATATGTGATTGAAGCCCACTTAAATTTATGTGCATCTCATGGGAGATCTGAAACACAGGTGATTCTCAACATTAAAAAAAACTACCAATGAGCCACTACCTAGTGTATATATAAATATTAAAAAATATCCTAGTAATACATATATATGTGTGTGTGTGTGTGTGTACACAGGGGATACATAAGTAGGTTTACAGTAAAAAACAAAATGTATTATATTGATTATAGAAACATATCAATAATAAACATATCTGTGTTAATTAAATAAGCACATCTCATCTCCCCTCTTGCTTGTAATCATCCACTATAAAGCTGAATTATTCAAATAAAGTTTTGTAAGCTTCTACTTTGAGTTGTTGCTATATTACAATATCAATCCCTCAAATGTTCAAACTTGTTGCCCCCATCATTCCTCTTTAACTGCAAAATATTTATTATTATTGTTTGTTAAAAAATTAAAATTATAATAAATGTATTATAATAAAAATTATGAAAATAAAAAATATCAAAAATGATTTTACTGAATAAAATCAATTCTAGTATTAAATTAAAAGCTGAGAATCATTTTTATAATACTCGTAATACTGGTATAATACTGTTTACCTAATTTTGTAGCCGCCTGTATATATGTATGAGAGTGGGTTGGGGTCTCAACAATTTCTCATCTGGGGGTGGGGCAAAAATTCAATTTAGAAATAAATCACCAGACTACTCTCATAGGAGGATTAGATTCTTTGGTTATAGAAGGAAAGTTGTGTATAGAACCGGCAACATTTTGTCGGAAGAACTCATAAGAGAGAAATAGTGCACAGTGGGACATAAGTCTCTAAACAGCTCTCCACGGGTTTTAATTCAGAGGTTTTCTTTCTACTTGACTGGCTACTACCCAAGACAAGAGAATTCAGTCCACCCTGTTATTTAAAAAAAAACACACTCAAACCCTAGTAAAGTTTATCTTTTTGCTATCTTTCCTAATCTCCGTTCTGCTGACCATTTATACAAGCTCGTCAGGTAGGCTATTCATTACTTTCTTCTGTTCCTCTTATCTTCAATATGTCCTGTGAATGTCAAACTTTCCAAGCCCCCTTTCCTCATTATGTACCCTAGATATTTTAACTCTCTTTTTCTGATGTTAAGTATAAGTATCCATTTTGTTTTCATTTTCTCTAAAACTTTTCCTCAATTTTAATCAATGGAAATCTTTATTAATTGTATTTTTACAAGATATCATAAACTTTTTATGGTATCAAATCCTAAAACTATATTTTAATTCTTAATCTTTTTAATTAGCATCAGTAACTTTCTTAACCCAGGATGGGCAAACTGTAGCGATTTTCCTGATTACACACATTACACTCTAGTTATTTTGAACAATAAGTTTACAGTTGGTATTCATACACTGGGGAATCATGATTCAAATAGTCTTTGTGAATATTTTTTTTTTTTTAAATGCTTGTCTTTTTTTCTAATCCAGTTTTCCATGACGATGCAAAAAATAAGCAGAAAATAATCATAAACATGAATTCAATGGGGAAAATTAAAAGGAGACCCCATACTCGTATTTATAAACCCATTTCCACTTCTTTTATATGTCATATCCTTTCAGGACATGGGCAATATCTTTTTGTTATCATTTATAGTCCCTTTTCTGCTGACCATTCATACAAGCTGATTAAGCTGCTTTCCTTTTGTCCCTCTTGCCTTCAATGTGTCCTGTGGGTGTCAAATTCTTCAAGCCTATTTTTTCTCATTATGTGCCCTAGAAATTTCAATTGTCTCTTTTTGAGTTTAAGTAGAAGTGTCCTTTTTGTTTACATTTTTCTCAAAACTTTTTCATTGCTCATATGTTCAGTCCGTAGTATCCTCAGTATCCTTCTGTAGAACCCCATTTCTGTTGTTTCAAGTCTCTTCTTCATCTGTGAAGTGATTGTCCTACATTCACTGCTATAGAGGAGTATCAATGTTACATAACAGTTTAATACTGTTTTCTAACAACATTTTTCTGTTTCATAATACTTTTCTTAGTTTTTGAAAAGCACCTTTCACTATCCCAATATATCTTCATATTTTGGCCAAAAGTTTGGGATAACCTTCTGGACTCTGAAGCAAGCAAGAGGGATATTCTCTTTTGGAAGGTTTTTATCATATAATAATAATGAAATTAACTCATTACTACATAAAGTTTCCTTAAAATTTTATCTCTTTTCCCCTAATCTACCTTGCTGGCTGATGGCAATCTTAGGGTTGGCAGATTTAAAATTTTAGGTAACTGCATTTCTAATATATTGGATGCCATGCACTAATAAATAAGTTAATTAAGCCAAAAAAAAGGTATAAAACCTGTTAATTATTAAACCCAGAGGGTTTCCCCAAACGTTTGACCTAGAGTGTATATACAAATATATATATTCTGTGTATTTAGAAAGCAAATGTTCTTTAAGGCAAATAATATTAAAAACAACAGATATTTTGTGTCAATTGATTTTAATGATTGACTTTTCCAAGTTACAAATATTCTTTCTCAGACAAAAATTGTCAGAAGTTCCATTCAGGAAAAAAAAAGTATAGATAATATTGTCTAATAATATGTGGAGTGAGCAGTAGATATTATAAATTCAATTAATTATGTAAACATACGTGTATAAATATTCATATATTATGTAATAGATCATAGACTTTTCAGATTTATCTGATGGTCTGTTCATACATTACAGGCTAAAAGTTTGGGACCACCTCCTGGGCTTTGAAGAATTGCCAAAAAATGGAAGGTTGCATGATTTTTTCAAAACTAATTTATGAGCTCACTTCAAGCCAGAAAATCTTTGTCTTCCTGAAGCATTTTATATATTCAACAATAATAACAAACAAATTAACCCATTTCTTCATAAAGTTTCCTTAAAATTTTAGCTCTTTTTGCCTAATCTACCTTGCCGTCTAATGATAATCTTTTCTATTATAAAAAATTTAAAAACGGTTAAACATTATAAAGAAATATATACATGTATATATATATATATATATATTCACATGTTAGATCTCATTCTGTTTCAATTTATCTAACATTGTCTGTTCATATCTATTGACACATTTTGGTATAACCGTAAAGCTCAACACATATATACAACATGTGCTCTTTTTTGTTTTTAATGTGAAACTAATGCTGAATTGAATTAAACTTATTATAAATACAAACACATCAGATAAGAAAATATAAGAAAAACTTTAGAATATATCACTCAGAAAAGAATGAAGTTTATCTTAAAGAACACGGATTTAAGAATAAATCTATTTAAAAAGAAAAAATACAATCTGCTACATTAGTTGTTTATTTACAATTAATGTTAATTTTTTAAGCTTTTAATTTGTTCATTGACTTTAAATAATTAAGCACAAAGCACATTTTTTACATGGCAACATAATTAGTTCAAGGAAAGTTGATTGTACTGTTGAGTGTAAAAAAATTATATCACTTTCTCAAAGATCTTATATAATATTCCAAGTGAATTTTTATTTGTAACTTTTTGCTGTAAAAGAATTATCTCTCTTGTACTGGTGATGCCAGGTGGCAGTACCTTTGTTATGACAATGGCAGATAGAGATTTTGTGAGATCTGGGAGGGAACTAAAAAGACTGACACCATGAAAGAATAGAGTACAAGAATAATAATTGGAAAAGATATATTTAAAGACTTACATGTAAATACATAGTCAGGACTTAATAAATTAGGACATCATTTTTTATGGTATGAGTAAATTAGTATTAATATAAAATTCTACTGGTGATAAAGTGGGGATTTTGGTTTTCTATTGTTATTAAGTAATAAACTGAGGCTCAAAATTACTCTAAGTTAATCTAATAATGGGAAAAAGTATATTCAATGACTAACATGAAAACTTTCTAATAATTGTAAGGAATTGACAATACATGTTGTTGTTTTTGGTGACATAGGTAAAGTAGATTTCAAATAAAATATTTTGGAGGTGTTTGTCACATAGGTGATTTAGAAATAAAAATGTGACTAGCAGCAAAGACAGTTAAGCAAAGGGGCAAGAGGAAGATGATGTCTTTACTACCAACCACGTTGAACATTTTAATTTGTAGATTTGTTTGTTAGTAGCCAATAACAATAAAAATCAAATACAGTTAATCAAATTAATCATTAGAGTCTGCCATACAATAAAAAGGTTGATTTTTGTGTATGCTTGCAAGTCTCATTATTATAGTGTTCTTTTCTTTTTTTTTTTTTTTAATCATTTCACTCCAAGCAAGGCAGGAATGTCACTAGTGTGTAGGGGGTGGGGTTACAGGAAGTGAATTTGAAAGAGAAGACTGAGAAAGGGGAGAATTGAGGAATGGACAAAAGATGAACAGGATTCAAGAAGACAGAAGATGGTGATTAGTGTTGCATTTAAGTTTTT